CAATAGACTATAATCATTTTACCGAATTTTTACTCTTACGGAACTGTCAAACCAAGACGTCCAAATGGTGAAGTTGAAATCATTCCTTCGTAAATTTTACGGACGCAGTCACGGGTTGGTTGACCGTTACAGAATATCCGTCTCACAGATGATATCGGATATGTTCCTTATGTCGTAACTACAATACCCTTCCCTTTTCACGAATGTGACCTACCGAATTAGACTATTTACCGGGTTTGTAATAACATGAGCAACACGATGGGAGCAATATGTGGAGCAGGATCTGCCTACCCTTCCGGAGCATTTGAGATCACCCCCAGTTTTTGGTTGGGTTCGTGTTGCTTAGTCTTTAGTTTTCTATGTTGTGTCTTTTGTACTATTATTATTTTTTTTTTTCATTTTTTTTTGCCATGGCGTTGTCAGTTTATTTTCGATCTATGAGTTTGAATGTCCCTCTGGTATCTTTCGCCCCTCTGTTGACTCCGAATAACATAAATTTTCGACATGTTACATTTTTTTGTAGGACATCCTGGTTCTAACTCAAATAAGAGCAACCAGAATAGGTAAAATCAAACCTATAATCTGTTTTTTTAGGGCAAAGTTTTCCGAAAATACATGATTAATTAAGAAAGGGGATGAGATGTCCAAAACTATCAAAAAGACAACTGTAACCTTGGACAAAATGCCGATAAATGAAATAATAATGTACACAGGTAAATAATTTTTTTTTGTAAAGAGGACATGGAGTACGGATATATTTTTTACAAAATCAATAAATTTGTTGTTCATAGTACGGGAACAGAAATGAAAATGTATCGTCATACTAAATACTTACAAAAGGTGTTATATAATTAAAAAAAATAGTGAGACGAGATGTAGAATAAAATAAGTAATCATTGAATAACAAAAATTGAAACATACTGACTGCTCATAGCGAATTATTATTTCACTATTTCACTTTCATTGAACATGAACAAAAAAAATCATAATTAAAATTTTCATGTTTCTCGTAGCTAGTGCCCCTTTAAGGTTCGATGAGTTTAGACGGATCAAATAATCATTTCCGCGCATTAAGTTCAACAGTACCGTAGAATTTAGGATGTGAAATACCATTTTTAATAGGTTTTCTACCGGTACAGCCAAATTTACGAATCAAATCTTTGTATCTATGAAAGAATTTTAAATTAATAAAAGTTTAAAGTAATTTATGGTAACAAAATCCCCGACTTAATAATTTACCAGTGATGCATTGATTACGTTCTCGTTAAACTATTAGACATCACTACATACACGGGCATAACGAACAAGTTGGGATATATAATCACCATTCAATCGAGCCAAAGGGACATCGTCGTCTAAATAAGGAAAATTACAAAAAGGGAATGAATTATCGTCTCTTTTGTTGAAAATTGATGTTTTGAATTTCCCTCTAGAAATTTAGAAGTCTTAATCTAGAAAAGGACAACTACTGCTGTTTATGTTTTTTTTTTATCTAAAATAAGTTCCTTTGGGTAAATTTCGAACTCTCGATAATTTGTCGAAAAAATATCATCAAGATAACGGTAGGTATTGTTGAATGTATCAACCGAACGTAACAATGAGGTGTCTTTACTGAATTATGAATTTTGAACAGCGGTATACTACTGTTATCTTTATTTGGTCATAAACTGAGATTCATATCAATACAGGAATAAATTTCCTATTAAAGGGAAGCAATTAGTGCCTATAGGAATGCATATTACCTGTCCATACACTTTATCGCCGATACGTACATATATGTTTTCAAAGACAAAATTCAAAGCTTCAATCATATCTTTACATTTCTAGTAAGTGTATCTAGCATACATACTTCGTAACAAAAAAGGTTTTAAACGAGTTTCAGCAAATGAATTTGCAATTGGATTTTCTAAAGATAAGATTGTGTGGAAGTGTAGTGTAGAGAGTAGAAAAATCATAACTGTCAACAGAATTATAAGGACCATCAAAAGCACGTATTTCCTCTAAAACCTCTAAAGAATTTTAAACACTCCAAAAATAATAAATACTTTTATTTTCATAAGCTTTATTACACAAGTTAATAAACAGTTCTTTGGTAGTAGGAAGGGAGCTAGTAAGAAGCACCGACAGATTAGTAGTAGAACACTTACTAGATGCAGAGATGAAACGAAATTTAAATGGTTGCTTGTATTCCTAATGTAACCAGTACATAGTCGTGACTTTTTCAAATGTTCGGAAGAGGCTTTAAGCTGGGTGATGGCAGTGATATACTTGTTCACAAATTGATTCTTTGTGGAGCGTACGGACCTGAATGTAGAAACTTTGATAAATTCATTTTGAAGAACTTCCGTGTAGTATATGCGACATACCACTACTATATTATTGGCTGCTTGGTCTGCCGGTACGAATACAAACCACTTTCCGAGTAACTATAACACGTAATTGAGATGATAAGTTACTACATGGAATCTATACTTCAAGACCATAGTGTATTATTTGTGAAGTTGATACAGAATGTCGATCACCTGGTCATAGTATCTTCCAATGAACATTTAAAAAAAGGACAAGACATTCTTTGATATCACTCTGGTTCATCAACTTTCTGCTTAGACACTGGTGACGTTTTACAAAGTCTGAGTAGCTGCTGCAAGCAATTAAGTATCGAATGGATTGAGAAATGTATTTCATTTTTATGTATTTGATCGATGAGAAGTGTTGGGATTCCATTACCTTACCTTGTTTGCATTTTGTTTCCGCAAATATTTCTTAAACTTTTATTATAATTTATTTTAACTTTTTTTACAAATTTTAACACTTCTTATTTTGTATTTTGACTTTTGACTCTCGACGTTAGACGTTCCGATCAGAAAATCGTGGGCACACTACGGTAAACATGTAAATCCCCTTCTTTCCCTTCGACCCTTAACCAAGTTAAATCAGAAATTGATCAAATTTACTAGAAAGCTTAACTATATGTATGTGAATGTGACTGATTTTGTTTTTGAGTGTATAACTTTAAAACGCACAAAAAATGTGATTTTTTTTTTTGTCGCAGTACCTCGAGATTTCTAAGAAACGAAAATGGCTATTGAAATGTATTTTATCTAATAACATATATTGTTTAACATCAAAACAAATTATATATTTTTAAATTGGAGCTATATAATATCCATCAATTTTGAGTTCTATCATGAGTCTATCAAAAATTTCCTATGAAAATGAAATGTGACATCCTTATCATTCAGCTGTCATACAGTGATCCCATTCATATTAAATTGAGAGACAAAGTTGTGAGAGGTTCAAAGACTTGGAAGTGATTTTAATAGCACATGCTACCTTAGCATTTACAAAGGACGTTATTAAGGATGTAAACTATTAATTGTACTTATCATTTGTGTAACTTCAAATACTTACATAACTTAGGATTGATACTTATTGACCAACCAGAATCATGACACAGAAGGTACATGACAATATTAAAGAAACATACAAAGGGTATATGACGATATTGAAGAGAAATGCCAAATGAAATGACAATATTGAAGGTAAATGCAGATGGAAATAACAAATTTGAAGAGATATGCAGATGGAAATGACAATATTGAAGAGATATACAAAAGAAAATGCTTATATTGAAGAGACCTGCAGAAAGAAATTACATTATTAAAAAAGAGACGCCAAAAAAATGATAATGTTGAAGAGACATACAAAATGAAATGACAGTATTTAAGAGATATGCAGATGGAAAGGACAATATTGAAGAGATATACAAAAGAAAATGCTTATATTGAAGAGACCTGCAGAAAGAAATTACATTATTAAAAAGAGACGCCAAAAAAAATATTGAAGAGACATACAAAAGGTAATGACAATATTGAAGAGATACTAGTATGCAGAAGGTTAATGACAATATTTAGGTGGCTTTGGGTCTGAAATAAAATCCATAGAATTTTCTAACCATTTGTCAAACTGAAGTTTTTATCATATAAAAAAGAAGATGTTTGTATGATTGCCAATGAGACAACTCTCCACAAGAGACTAAATGAAATCATGCTTTTTTTTCAAAAATATAATAAAAAGTATTGGTCATCAAACTTTTGTTTCATGCTAGAGGTTGTGCAATATTGTCAGATTTTGTATAATTTATGCATGGAAATCCAATTTTGTGTGATATAAAGAAAACTTCACCAAAGAATTTTAAGATAAAATGTGAGAAGAGAGCTCTTAAAACATGCTTTAAGATAAGAAAAAGAAAAACTGGGTTCACCGAACTTGTTTTCTTGCTACATATTAGAATATGTAAATTCACAGCTTTTTCTATTATAAAATAACTTTATCTGAGTTATCTCCCCTACTATCTAAGTTATCTCCCCTTATTTGGCAAAGTTAAAAAATAGAATGAAACACAAATATTTTGTTTTTTTAGAAAATACAGTCGTGAATATGATAAAACACATAATTTTTCTACATTTACATTGAAAGACTTACACATGAATCAAATAATACTCTCTAAATTTGTACATTTCAGTAAAGATCTAGACCAACTGTTATCTGCTATTTCAAAATCCAATACGGAGAAAGGCACCCGAGCCATCTTATAGAGACATGCATAACGAAATGACAGAATTGAAGAGACATGCATAAGAAAATGACACTATCATGACTATAGAGGGGAACTGCAGATTGAAATGACAATATTGAAGAGAAATGCAGATGGAAATGACAATATAAAATAGACATGCAAAAGGATATGACAATTTTAAAGAGACATGAAAAAGGAAATGACAATGTTAAAAAGACATGAAAAAAATGACAATATTGAAGAGACATGCAGAAGGAAATGACATTATTGAAGAGACCTGCAAAAGAAAATGACAATATTAAAGAGAAAAGCAACCAACAGGAAATGCCAAAATATCAGCAAATAAAAATAAATCAAAATGTTTTCACACCTTTGTTTATCATTTTAATATTTAGAACTAACCGTTCACTTACCAGGAAAACCGACCCATCCCAAAAGGATATCGTGTAACAGTTCATATATCCTTTATCCTTTTCCGCTTTACTTTATTTACTATATATAGACCACCAGATGCTACTCGTTTGTATTAAGAATTTTGTGATATAAATACAGGTATGTTAAATGAACTGCATGTTCATGCAAAAATGATTATTATTACAAGTCAAATTTTCTAGTTAATGTCGATCTGAGTCAATTTTTCTTGATGAACTTGCAATTGTTTAACCAATATATAATTTACAAGGTATAATAACCAACAGGACTATTTTTGTGAATATTCGAACGATAAAAAGGAACAAACTGCTATTTTTATATAATAAACTTCAATCTGAAATCTGACCTATTTGGCTACTCGGTATTGTTTGGGATCAAATTACCTTTGAATTTCAGACAGTTGAGAGTGAGTTGAATGTGTTTACATAAAAATATTCATTGCGATTTTATTTTTACAGGACCACCTTGGCTGCAATATGAGAGCCTACATTGGTGTTTGTTTCATCTTATTATGTTTGACAGGTACGTAAATCGATCCGTACTGACAACATTTACCATGAATAATTGTAAATAATTAGAGATTTTGTTTCCCTTTGAAATAAAAATAGATCAGGAATTCACTATTCTTATTCACTACATATTAACATGGTTTTTAATACGCAGCCATCATTCATATCTTAATTGTTGTTTTCGTCGAAAGCCATGCCTATTCTAACCAACCGCGTCCTGATTCGGCCTCAGGGAATAAAGATGATCTCCGTGACAACACGACAGGAGAGTCTGTATACACCAATTTTTCTCCGTCCGTATTGTAAGCGCTCTAGAACATTTGTACTTTGCTAAATATATAAACAAGACAAGGTTAAGACAAATAATAGCTACAAATTGAAATTTGAACCACGATGTTTGGTATGAAATATGTAAGACTTATTTAAATATAAGAACATCATTGTAAAAGGTCTAGAATTATTTTGTTTTGTCAGATTTAGATATTTATTTCGGATTTTTATACACAAGTATCTAATCAGCAGTAGGATGCTCGGTGTTTAGTATTACGTCCATTTTCACTGAAATAGTACACATTTTTGTTTAGGGTCCAGCTGAAGCCCGCCTCCGGGTGCGGGATTTTCTCGCTGTGTTGAAGACCTTTACATTGCCATAGGTAGATTGGCTGTTTTCTGCCCTATGTTCGTGTTGTTGTCTCTTTGACACATTCCCCATTTCCATTCTCAATTTTAACGTTTCGAACCGGTTCAATCTACTACCAGGTCTACTTTTTTACATTTGGTTCTAGCTTCATTACTACTCTTAAATTGATACATATAAGTTAGATATAAGCTCTATTGCAGATATTTATTTTTTTTTTTGGTATGAAAACGATATTTGCCTGAGACTGTGTACTTGATAGTTTTCATCTAAAATACGTTTCAACAGAACAGTAACGAATAGAATCACTTGACATAAACAAGTTTTCGCCCTTAATAAAAGGACATTGAAATAATAAGCAAATAAAATAATCCATTCTGTATAGTACGAAATTTTCGATGCAGAAGATGTACCAAGCATTTATCATTTAAACATTCAATTAGCTCTTATAACTATAATTGTAGTGATTGTTAGAACGATAAGTCTTGCTCGTTAATAACATTGAAAGGTACAAACTTACCATGTGCGTTTCGATAAACAATAGTTTTACAGTGATACTCGAGATCTTTAATTATAAAATAACCATCAATAGATGATATGGAACAAAAATATAGTCAAACATGGAACAGGATTCATGCCTGGGGAGATAAATTCTTTAATTTCAAAAAATTTAATCACTGAAATTTCATAAAATACTACTAAACAGTATTTAGCTACTTATGATACCCTGTGAAATTAACAGTTCACAACTACAGGTAGCGATAAAGCAGTATCATAAAGAATGTTTAATTTGAAAATGTCTTTCAAAGGTTGTTATGTTGAAGTGTCTTCTCAGAAATGCTGCTAAACTATCCCATGTTGGCTCCTTTTCTGTCAATACTACATGAGAGTAAACAATCAATATGTCAATGAGACAGCTATGTTATACATCAACACCCCACAACACAAACACAAAAGAGTTAAGATTGCAAAATACAGTCAATGAAATCGGATGTAAAAGATTCACCATTTTAATTTTACTAAGTCTATTTATGTAAGTATGTACACTTTGAAACTAAAAATAACATTTCTGAATTTATATTCGTTACTTGATACATACAATATTGTTTTAAAAATTGACTTTAAATTGTCTTATAGGATTTGAGTATACTGACGCTGCAAAAAAGTGTTTTAGTATGGTTGACTGTGGAATCTTTGCTGGTGGTTGCAGGCCATACTGTGTTGAAAAATTGTGTGTCGGTAATGCCGAATGCGTCGGAAATATGGAATGCTGCTGTGGTGGTTGTATTTTTGGATAATTAGAAGGGACATAAAGACCAAGAGGAATATTTACCAACTTATCTGCCAAAAATAAAGCATACAATTTGAAAATGGTTTTATCAGTATATTGAGAGATAGTAAATGAAATCAATTGTAATAATGCCTACAACATAATTTCACGGATGCTAGTATTTAAGTTCGTTCATTGATTATGTTGATTGTATTTATCCAATTAAACTTGAAATGAAAGATATTACATACGATCAGGTCTGCTCCAGATCTCGACCTGTTCGTTAAATTATTAGACAAAAAAGAGAAATAACACCATAATGGCAATAAAAAAACCCATCTCGTATTATATCTGAAAGCAAATTTGAGCTCATGGTTAAGATTGTTGTTAAAAGATAGGTGTGTCATTGTTTGGTCATCTGTGACACGTATATTTTATATAGGTTATTCACATAAAGACTGTTTCAAGATACTCAAAAATTGTAGACTCTTACGCAATCCCTGTAGTATGGCATCATATACTATTTTTGGTCTGTTTGTGGCTTGTGATCTCTTACAAAATGTGGTTTTCAAATACAGATGTGCCTGTTTAACATGTTATCGAAACTCATACTTTTATAACTCTTAATTTTTAATCATTAGACATATATATGTATATTTTGTTGACTATGTATACGTATCTTGACCTGAACTATCAATAAGAAAAACTTATACTTTAAATAATTATAAGTTTTACAACATTTCAATTGGAGATTTGTTTAGCATTGTAGGGTAAAAGCCTGAAATCTTATCGTTAATTTCGAAGTGTACCAGGGTTATCTTCTATGCATTGTGTATATATAAGAAGAAGTGTTAATATTGCCTATTACACAACTCTCCCCTAAAGACCTAATGACGCAGAAGTTTACCAATGTGTTATCTAATAGCTAATGATCATGCAATTCGGTCAATATCGTGATAACATATTTTGACTATAACCCTTGAGAGCTTGATTTTATTGGATTGACAATAAATCACAGTGAACAAATTAGTCCGTCATGTTCACATTAAATCAGTAAGATCTCCATGTTCACAATGAACCAATTGCGTCCTGAACAGGCATGACATATTGTCACTCGACATTAAACTTGAGAATGGAAATGAGGAATGTTAAAGAGACAACAATCCGGTCAAAGAGCAGAAAACAGGCTAAGGCCACAAATAGGTCTTCAACACAGTGAGAAAATCAGCTGGCCCCTAAAAAGAAGCTGGCAGTATCCTTGAACTTCACTTTCCGTTCTGTAAAGGGTGTTCTATTACTGATTGATTTAAAGTTAAGTGACAATGTTTATCGCATCATGAAATAATAGATACAACAGATATTTTTAGTTCTGCCTCAAGTCTAATATCTGGAAAATAGGAATGAGGGTCGATTGAGACAAAACATCACGACCAAAATATGATTTTGGATTACCAACTTGGAACTTTCCATTTCAGTAGCCAGAAGTACAAATGTATATCCCTATTGATATTTTATTTCAGAGCATTCCTCATCAAGATTTTGTTTTTGATTGATGGTTGCTGCTTATAAGGAAAATATGAAAATGACCCATCCAACTGGTGAAGTTTTAGTAATTCCTCCGGATATTGTATGGACAACATTACGAGTTGGTTGACGGTTATGGTATATATGTTTGACAGGTGGAGTCGGTAGCGTCGGATGTGTCCTAAATGTTACTCACACTCCCGTTCTGTTTTATTCACCTGTGATATCACTTAGATTCCTGGAATTGGTATTTGCGTGAATTGAGGCATCAGTAGTTTACCGCTGTTCAATAGTCATAAATCGATTTAGCGAAAACAAATCCAGGTTACAAACCAAAACCAATCTACCTTCTGTGGAGAAAAATCCCTGTTCAGAGCACCTGATATCACTCTCGGCTTTTTGCTCAGTGTTTAGCATCTTTATTGTGTTTTACACCCTATTATTTGTTATTTGGTTTTTGTCGAGCCTGCGACTTTTGTCGCAGAAAGCTCGACATAGGGATAGTGATCCGGCGGCGGCGGCGGCGGCGGCGGCGTTAGCTAACTTCTTAAAAGCTTTATATTTTAGAAGGTGGAAGGTCTGGATGCTTCATACTTTGTATATGGATGCCTCATGTTACGAAGTTTCCGTCAGTCACATGTCCAATGTCCTTGACCTCATTTTCATGGTTCAGTGACTACTTGAAAAAAAAGTTATGATTTTTTGTAATGTTAGATTCTCTCTTATTATAAGTAATAGGATAACTATATTTGGTATGTGCGTACCTTGCAAGGTCCTCATGCCAGTCAGACAGTTTTCACTTCACCTCGACCTCATTTCATGGATCAGTGAACAAGGTTAAGTTTTGGTGGTCAAGTCCATCTCTCAGATACTATAAGCAATAGGTCTAGTATATTCGGTGTATGGAAGGACTGTAAGGTGTACATGTCCAACTGGCAGGTGTCATCTGACCTTGACCTCATTTTCATGGTTCAGTGGTTATAGTTAAGTTTTTGTGTTTTGGTCTGTTTTTCTTATACTGTATGCCATAGGTCTACTATATTTGGTGTATGGAATGATTGTAAGGTGTACATGTCTAGCGGGCAGGTGTGATCTGACCTTGACCTCATTTTCATGGTTCAGTGGTCAAAGTTAAGTTTTTGAGTTTTGGTCTTTTTTTCTAATACTATATGCAATAGTTCAACTATATTTGGTATGTGCGTACCTTGCAAGGTCCTCATGCCCGTCACACAGTTTTCACTTGACCTCGACCTCATTTCATGGATCAATGAACAAGGTTAAGTTTTGGTGGTCAAGTCCATATCTCAGATACTATAAGCAATAGGTCTAGTATATTCGGTGTATGGAAGGACTGTAAGGTGTACATGTCCAACTGGCAGGTGTCATCTGACCTTGACCTCATTTTCATGGTTCAGTGGTCAAAGTTAAGTTTTTGAGTTTTGGTCTTTTTTTCTAATACTTTATGCAATAGGTCATCTATATTTGGTGTATGGAAATATTTTATGATGTACCTGTCAGTCTTGCAGGTTTTATTTGACCTTGACCTCATTTTCACGGTTCATTGCTCAGTGTTAAGTTTTTGTGTTTTGGTCTGTTTTTCTAATACTATAAGCAATAGGTCAACTATATTTGTTGTATGGAAGGATTGCAAGCTGTAGTACATGTCTGCCTGGCATTGTTCATCTGACCTTGACCTCATTTTCTTGGTTCATTGGTCAATGTATAGTTTTCTTGGTTAAGTCTGTATCTTAGAAACTATAAACAATAGGTCAACTATATTTAGTGTATTGAATGATTGTAAGGTGTACATGTATTTCTTGTTTTGTTTATATGACCTTGACCTCATTTTCTTGAATCATGTTAAGTGTATGTGATAGTTGTAGTAAAGCTTTAAATTTAGGACTATCAACATTATATCAATGATTAGTAAAGAAGGCGAGACATTTCAGCGTGTGCACTCTTGTTTAATTGAGGTTGGGGTATGGCGTTGTTAGATTGTCTTTGACTTATGATTTTTAATATTCCTGTGGTATCTCCTACCTCTCTATTAAACTAAACATCGAATGTTAAAATCCTATTTACAACCTGACATCTTTCGCAAAACAATTGAAAATGACCAGCTAACATTATCTCATCTTTGAATGAACAGAAAAGGGACGATGAAATGTTCCCGTCTTTATACTAGATACCTAAACTATAACATGTATAACTGTAAGTGGATACAGGATTTATTATCTGGTTGTCTTCATTTTTTACTAAGAATCTTGCTTAAATTCTTACTACAATTTTTTCTACCGTTTAAGATGAGCTTAAAACAAATGCTTATGAGGTATATTAACCAATCAGTTAAATTCTGATGATTTACTAAGACAATTTTATCGCAATCATTGCAATTTTTGAGTTTTATCACAAATTTAGATTTTTCTACGATTTTTATTCTTGATAATGATTTTCAATTAAATTCGAATTTAAATTACATTTTAAAAGATCATTTATGGCATCCTTGGATAGTACACTATGAATAACATACGATGTATGAACCCAAGCAACTTGATTCTTCGTGGCAGTATATCTGCCTTTCAAATGTTTCTTAACCTTTCTGGTGAGCAAAAATTGATTAACGACAGGTTATCAGTCCTATATGTTGGTTTTTTGTTTATTTGGTTTTTGTTTGGTAGTTTTCTGTTACGTTTCAATATAGTGTGTCCGTTTGTAGGATTTGGAACCCCTTTATTTATATCATAATCCTCACAGAAACAAGTAAAGGAATACAAATGTTAAACGTAAATAGAAAGGTTATTATGTGTATCCTACTAAATATTACAAAAAGTATTATTCAATTATCTCCCTTTGTATGATGATCTATCAGATCGATGCAGCTCACATAAGGATGTGTTAAGGTGGTACCTAACACTACAGGGAGATAACTCTGTAAAAATCAACTAAACGTTTTAATCACGTTGTATTGTTGTAGGAAATATTAAGCTTCTCAATGATCAAAATTAGTGTTTGTCAAACTGCTATATAACCAATGAAATTTTTCTGATAAAGTGTTGGTTCAAATTTTTTGAAATTTTTATTTTTTTGTCAAAGGGTCAAAGTAAACATTTTGTCAAAATTTTATGAAAATTAAACGAGCCAAATTAATATTAGTCAAGGTGTTGGGTACCACCTAAACGCATACAAAAAAGAAATTATGAGTGAAAGTAATGAATACTTGGTAATTCTTCAAACAATGTTTCTTTAATTTTGTTAATACGAAACGTCGGATAATTGTTGTTGTTCAATGTGTATTCTGTGCATTTGATCATTGAATGTTAGGTGTGTTCAATCATTCATTGATTAAATATTAAGATAACACGATACCGAATCGCATATCTCCCGATATTTAAATGTTTGACACTCTTTTACATTTATTCGAGTATATGAAATAAAAATGGGAGGTCACCATTTTTTGTTATTTTGTAATTTATTAATGAAACATCAATCTTGGCGACACATTTACATAGATATATAGGGAAATCCTTCTTTAACCTTTTTAGATTTTTCAATGGATGGCTAGTTTCTGATATACGAAGAAAGACTAAAAACTAACATAATATCCAGCACTGTATCCTGAATCCATG